TCTTTTTCCTTGGTCTGAATGAAAATGCAAATTCATTCTTTGCCACTAGGTGCCGCTTTTGGAGCGTAAAAAAGCCGTTTCCCCAGTAACGCTGTACACAAAGCAGCACTGCGCTCACAAACTCTGCTTTATCAGGCATTACAGGCAAGATGAAAAAAGATGAGACCAATCGGACCAATCACTGCAGATTAGGGTCACGCAAAAGAGGGGCTTGGAAAAATGAATCGTTAAACGAATCGTTTGGGAGTCGTTGAGCAAGTAAGGTAAACATAAATGCATATTATAAGACAATGAAAGTGTTTTTTGACCTTGCATGCATGTCAACCTGTTGTAGGGGACTCCCAAAACCAAAATATGAATCTTTCATAACCCATAATAGGGGCACTTTAATTCCCTTAGCCAAAACGTACTGAGGTTGTGTACTGTACTATGGTACAGAGATGCAAGGCCATAACCATGTCAAACATGATGAAAATTAGGGGGGGGGGGTATTTTATTGAAAGGATTACAATTAAAGGATTTTAATTTTAATTGTAATCTGAACTATTTTGCAAATAACACTTTCTAAAATATTTAAAAGATATTCTGCACACATTTCATCCAACACCTAATGTGCCAAAAAACTTCATTAACATTTCAATTACGTTCAATTAAGAATTACATGAATCATATAAATGCTAGTTCAAAACATCTGACATAAAAGTCAAGTAGTCTGAATAACTGGACATTACTATTATCTGACTATTTACATTTCTATTGTAAAACCGTATATAAAATATTATATTATATGTTTAGCTATTACATAGTTCCTCATAATCGTTTTTACAATGTGTCAAACTGTATTTCATGATCGGATTCTTTGGACAGTAAAGCCTGTCATCTTTGATTTGATTGGCCATCTCAATCATTTTGACATTGATGAGCATTGTTAGTCTACCAAGGCTGAACAGATAGCATAAAAAGGTAACTTATAAACTTTTTTGTCATCCTAACAACAAACAAGGTGGTGCATAATGGACTGCAGCAGAGCAGCATCAACACTCACAGGGGGGGAAAAAAAAGGGATAAAAGCTGTCACTAGTCCTTTCAAAATGTACTAAATACATACAATAAAGATACTGATATGCACACTTCAGGTACTCATATGTACCTTTAAGGTACAAATACGCACCTTTTAGGGGTAAATAAGCTTCAAAGGTATTGCCCCAGTGACAGCTTTTGTACCTTTTTTCTGAGTAGGAAATTTTGGGCATATCCGAGTAAAAAGTCAAGTAGTCTGAATAACTGGACATTACTATTATCTGACTATTTACATTTCTATTGTAAAACAGTATATAAAATATTATATTATATGTTTAGCTATTACATAGTTCCTCACAATCGTTTTTACAATGTGTCAAACTGTATTTCATGATCGGATTCTTTGGACAGTAAAGCCTGTCATCTTTGATTTGATTGGCCATCTCAATCATTTTGACATTGATGAGCATTGTTAGTCTACCAAGGCTGAACAGATAGCATAAAAAGGTAACTTATAAACTTTTTTGTCATCCTAACAACAAGGTGGTGCATAATGGACTGCAGCAGAGCAGCATCAACACTCACAGGGGGAAAAAAAAAAGGGATAAAAGCTGTCACTAGTCCTTTCAAAATGTACTAAATACATACAATAAAGATACTGATATGCACACTTCAGGTACTCATATGTACCTTTAAGGTACAAATACACACCTTTTAGGGGTAAATAAGGTTCAAAGGTATTGCCCCAGTGACAGCTTTTGTACCTTTTTTCTGAGTAGGAAATTTTGGGCATATCCGAGTATTTGGTGGGTGGGGGTGACCTTATCCCCCTCATTTTCTGGCAGTTATGGCCCTGCAGATATGGTATCAGATAGTCATAAATGTTGTTAATGCGTTACTCCAAGTTAGGCACTTCAAAGAATGGTTATTCCATGGTATGTGTACAAAAAACAAAAGCCATGGGTGTCAAGTCCAGAAAAGGAACTTTTTTGAGAGGGTAAAAACCCATCACGTCATAATGCTACTGTACCTCCACAGACGGAGAGGATGGTGGAGTGGACAATGTTTTCCAAAATGACCACGAGAACATTCCAAAACAGACATGGAACAGGCAAAGGAACACCACTGACAGAGAGAATATACACAAACAGTTATCAATCAAAATAACTGGAAGCAAATGTCAATTCATTCAAACATTAGAACTGCATATTTTCAAACACAAAGACTACATACCTCTCTGCGTTGAACAGGACAGCAGGACTGTCACAAATATGAACAAGAGTCAACACAGTCACTTATAACATCTGATAATATCTAGAATATATACATAAATGAACTTTTGAATGAGTTATAGAGATTCAGAACTCTGATGCTCAATGACCTTCCAAAACAAAAAGGAGACTGGGGAGTGAAACATAATTTTAACCAAAAACAAGCTTCCTACCTGGAATCACTACAATAATCTGTATGTTCTATAACAGCAATGCACTTCTACTAAACCCACAAATATTGCACCGAATAGGTCAGTAATTATACAGGCTTCATTTTTCAGTTGCGTGAGTGACTATTGAGTTCTGTATTTGTTTGCAATTGTTCTGAATCAAAATGTTTTTTTTATTTCTTCAGATTTTCGCACTAACATTATTAGGGGTTGGGGTTGTGATGGGGAATGGCGTAATTAATTTTGAACAACTAAATTTGATTGGAAATTCATTAAAAAAATTGATATGCATCAAGTTAACCCTTAAAACTACTTTAATCTGTAGCAGACAAACACAGCTGTCTCACATTAAAATTGAGAAACACAGTTAACGTTACACAAAAACAAAAAAACAAAAGAAGTCCGGTTTCTTCACCTACATTTTGATATCAGCCTTTTTTTTACACTACGAGAAATCTACGTCATTAAGTCATTAAATTTAAAGATTTCGCAAAAAATATTACTTACTCCAACAGAAATGCACGACATATGCGTAGTATGACCACATCACGACCATAATAACGATCGTAACCGGGATCCAGTGGAGAAGCCGCGCACAGCGCCGGAGGCACGCGGTCAGAAGCATCACGATGACCGTCACAAGTCTCTCTATCTCTGGACAATCTGTGACTGGAGCAACGAGTCCATAGTAATGAAGTAGAGGAATAAGAGAAACAGCGCCCCCGCAGGACAACGCAAGTGGCTTTTTTATTTCTTCTATTTTCTTATTACAAACAAAACATTTGAACAGGGAAGAGTGCTCACATGTAAACACAGATTGAGCTTTCGAATTTTAAACTTGAATAAAAAAAATGAGTATTTTTAATATTTAAACACAAAACGTATTAGCAACAAAACTGGCAAGTCTTTTTGTATACCGGCTACTGAACCCCCATCGTGTCCAAAAGCACATACTTGTGCTGAGGACTTCTCTTCATACTTCTACTGGTTTTGAGGTAGCTAGAAACGCAGAAGTTCTCAGACACACCGTTCAATACAGCAAGGAATTGGTTTTGCTTTAAGGTTCAAATTTACGCAGTAGAAATTCTGACAACACCACAGTTGCTTTGAGGTCTTAAAACATGTGCCTGAACGTCATCAGTCCATTCAGTGGTCTAATGTTAAAACTACATTCATATTGCCGATATTTACAGCAGCTTATTTATATCAGGCCCAACACAAACGATGCTTTAGGAGGAGAGGGGAATCGGTTTATGTGTTTGTTCTTGGAACTGAGAAAACCACATTGGGATGCTCCAGTCGAAATGTGATGTTGGAGTTGTTACAAGTGACCGAAGCAGCAGAACCTTCGGCATTGCCTTGTTTCACATGCAATGAAGTAGTTGAAGGAACACTCTTGGTTGTATAGGCGAAGTTTAGAGAAGCCAGAGCCTGCTGAGGATGAATGAGGAGAGAAAGACATTGACTGTCAGCACTGCAGAATTCCGGTTTCATACACACACAGAAAGCTAAATGTCAGGTCAGAGGTGAAAACTCATTTTACCTGTAGTGCCTGGTTGGCATTTCTGGGGGTGAGTTCGAGTTATAGAGATTCAGAACTCTGATGCTCAATGACCTTCCAAAACAAAAAGGAGACTGGGGAGTGAAACATAATTTTAACCAAAAACACAAGCTTCCTACCTGGAATCACTACAATAATCTGTATGTTCTATAACAGCAATGCACTTCTACTAAACCCACAAATATTGCACCGAATAGGTCAGTAATTATACAGGCTTCATTTTTCAGTTGCGTGAGTGACTATTGAGTTCTGTATTTGTTTGCAATTGTTCTGAATCAAAATGTTTTTTTTATTTCTTCAGATTTTCGCACTAACATTATTAGGGGTTGGGGTTGTGATGGGGAATGGCGTAATTAATTTTGAACAACTAAATTTGATTGGAAATTCATTAAAAAAATGTATATGCATCAAGTTAACCCTTAAAACTACTTTAATCTGTAGCAGACAAACACAGCTGTCTCACATTAAAATTGAGAAACACAGTTAACGTTACACAAAAACAAAAGGTTTCATTAAGTCCGGTTTCTTCACCTACATTTTGATATCAGCCTTTTTTTTACACTACGAGAAATCTACGTCATTAAACACCTAACTTTAAAGATTTCGCAAAAAATATTACTTACTCCAACAGAAATGCACGACATATGCGTAGTATGACCACATCACGACCATAATAACGATCGTAACCGGGATCCAGTGGAGAAGCCGCGCACAGCGCCGGAGGCACGCGGTCAGAAGCATCACGATGACCGTCACAAGTCTCTCTATCTCTGGACAATCTGTGACTGGAGCAACGAGTCCATAGTAATGAAGTAGAGGAATAAGAGAAACAGCGCCCCCGCAGGACAACGCAAGTGGCTTTTTTATTTCTTCTATTTTCTTATTACAAACAAAACATTTGAACAGGGAAGAGTGCTCACATGTAAACACAGATTGAGCTTTCGAATTTTAAACTTGAATAAAAAAAATTAGTATTTTTAATATTTAAACACAAAACGTATTAGCAACAAAACTGGCAAGTCTTTTTGTATACCGGCTACTGAACCCCCATCGTGTCCAAAAGCACATACTTGTGCTGAGGACTTCTCTTCATACTTCTACTGGTTTTGAGGTAGCTAGAAACGCAGAAGTTCTCAGACACACCGTTCAATACAGCAAGGAATTGGTTTTGCTTTAAGGTTCAAATTTACGCAGTAGAAATTCTGACAACACCACAGTTGCTTTGAGGTCTTAAAACATGTGCCTGAACGTCATCAGTCCATTCAGTGGTCTAATGTTAAAACTACATTCATATTGCCGATATTTACAGCAGCTTATTTATATCAGGCCCAACACAAACGATGCTTTAGGAGGAGAGGGGAATCGGTTTATGTGTTTGTTCTTGGAACTGAGAAAACCACATTGGGATGCTCCAGTCGAAATGTGATGTTGGAGTTGTTACAAGTGACCGAAGCAGCAGAACCTTCGGCATTGCCTTGTTTCACATGCAATGAAGTAGTTGAAGGAACACTCTTGGTTGTATAGGCGAAGTTTAGAGAAGCCAGAGCCTGCTGAGGATGAATGAGGAGAGAAAGACATTGACTGTCAGCACTGCAGAATTCCGGTTTCATACACACACAGAAAGCTAAATGTCAGGTCAGAGGTGAAAACTCATTTTACCTGTAGTGCCTGGTTGGCATTTCTGGGGGTGAGTTCATTGGAGTTCTGTACAGAGGCCTGAAAGAGACAAGTCATGAATAGGCTGGTGTGCATGAGGTGTCATGCAGGAATAGAAACATTTCCACAAAGCTGGAAGCACAGCAGCGTCCAAAATGTCTTGGTACACTGAAGAATTTCAGACTTCCCTTCACTGATAGTAAGGGGCTTATAACTATACCATTTTCTCTCCTCCATTAAACTTTATAGTTGGCACGATGCAGTCAGGCAGGTAACATTCTCCTGGCATATATATAATTTATTATATTCATTTGTAAGTCGCTTTTAAGAGTCTGCTAAATTACTAAATGTAAATAATATATATATATATATATATATATATGTATATATATATATATATATATAAGTGGGTTTTAGGCATCAAGTAGCACGTTTGCGATGTGTACCACCTGAGGGTGATCCATAACACACTTTGAAAACCACTGATTTAAGATTTGCCGTGGGTACCTTTTCTGCACGGTATTCATCCCAGGCTGCTCTGCGCTCTTCCTCGCTCAGCTCCTCTTCCTCCCGGTGGTCTAACAATGAGTTGTGCTCATGATAACTGACTATGAGCTGCCCACAGCTCTGCAGCAGCTGAGCCAACATGTCATCCTGGAAGACAAAAGCTTACAGTCATCTGTGTGTCTGTTTGATGTCTGTACCATAGCAGAGGCATTTATGTGTGCTTACCACAGGCGTTTCCGTGTGTTCACTGGGCCGTAGGTCTGGCTGGAAGCGGTACAGCTCATTCAGTTGACTGTGTGTGAAGTGTCTCTGAATCTGCTGCTGGTCCAGAACACGAGAGGACAGTGACTGTTTTGCAACTTGCCGCTCATAAATGTTCTGTTCCATGGTCCCCTACTCCCCCCCCAAAAAAAGGCAGCATTAATATTTTAAGAAAATAGCTTCACATATACAGTATATGTTAAAACTACAAAAATAAAAAAGTATAAAATACTGGAAATATATATATAGTATATATTTAAAATATATCGATTAAAACTTTATAAAAATTAAAACAAATTAAAAAAAAGTATCTCTAAAATGAAAATAATTAATAAAAAAGATAAAATAAATCCACTAGAGAACATCACCTTTAAAATATAAAAAAGCCTGAATTTATATATATATATATATATATATATAAATATAAAGAGAGAGAGAAATATAATTTTTTTTTTTTTACAAACTTCAAGCCCTCCATACTATCTGTCATTTGTATGTGTATACCTGAGCCAGAAAACGGTACACATATACTGTTTTTTTCTGCCCAAAGCGATAGACTCTGAAGATGCTCTGGATGTCATATGATGGATTCCAGCAAGCGTCAAACACCACGACCCGGTTTGCAGCGACCAGATTGATTCCCAGAGACCCCGCACGAGTGGAGATCAGAAACAACCTTCCTCTGTTTCAGAGGAAACCACAAGAGTCAGGACAGGAAATGCAGACACCTTAAATGTGACGTTGAACTTTTTGAGTATACCTTATGTTTTTAGTGTTGTTAAACTCTTGAGCCCATCTCTTGCGAGCACAAGCACTGGTGTTGCCGTCCAAACGATAATAATCTTTATTTTTAACCCATGCTTTCTCTCCTGACAATACACACAAACACAAACTCTTTTGCATAACCATGCTAAATGAACAAGACATTTCAAACAATCCCCTGTGTAAACTGCTTATTTACCTTTGTATGGACAACATTTTTTCCCCCTGGTCTCATCTGCATATAGGAGGAAACTCTCAATAAGGTCCAGTGATATCAGAGACTGACTGAACACCAACCTGAAAAAAGCAAATAGCATTCATAAAAACTAAGTGTCCCTCTGAACTGACAAACATTTAATCTACACTGCTATTCAGAAGTTTGGGGTTGGGATGATTTTTGAAAGGAGTTTTCTATGCTTATCAAGGCTGCATTTATTTGATCAAAAATACAGTAAAACAGTAATATTGTGAAATATTATTAAAATTTGAAACAACTGTTTCTATTCGAGTATTTTAAAATGTAATCCATTCTTGTGATGGCAAAGTCTTTACTATCAGTTTTTCATTCATTTAAAAGTATTCATTTTCTTTTGAACTGTGGGTTATATGAATATAACCACCAACACAAAGCTTATAACAAGCGCTACTTCTATTCAAGAACGTGATCCTTACACTTTGTCCTGTAGTTCCTCTGCCCAGTGTAAAATCTCCAGTAGCAACTGCAATTTCCCAGAATGCTCCAGCACTTTGGCATCAGCCGCTGTTACAAACGGCAGATACCAGTTGGAAGATGGCCCGTTACCCACAACAAATCCTGAACAATAGACAGAGAGAGACACTAAGAATGAGACAAACCACAAGAGAGGCAGATTAAAGGAAACAGAGAGAGAGAGACTGTTTTCACACCAGCTTCCCCACCAGAAATTTCCATTGTGGCTGTGTTTGTGACATCTGGATTCTGTGGATTTTGATTGGACCTGCTGACCAAGGAGACTGGATCAGTATTTCTCTCTCCATCACCCACTAAACCTGTGCTTGTTGCATCTCTCCTGTGAGACAGACACATTTGAATTATAACCATCAGAGCAAACCTGGTCTGGCATGGAGGAGACTTAGACTTTACTTCTAGGAGATGTTTCATTGGTTCCACATAACTGTATATTAGACATCAACTATGTTGTGATTGGCTGTGATTGTGTCAAGACACACAGCAGGCTCACATTTACCAATTGCTCCCAAAACCAAAGATTCTCTAATGCTTTTACATTGTTTAGAAATACTTTTTACCTCTTCAATTCAGAGTTACTCTAGCTTTGATGTCTCGTATTGAACAGAAACATGAGGCACATTGGTTGTACAGGAAATATTCAAATCTGATATAAAACACAGCGTACCTTTCAGATTCATTTGGATTTACAGAATTGCTGACCAAACCTGCACCCAGACCTGTGAAGACAGGAGCCGGCTCTTCCTCTTTCCCCTGCATCACACACAAAAATGCAGTAACTGGTTTTCATATCATAAGAAATAATCAGTGAAAAATCAGTGACCATTAATAAGGTGTTTGTAAAAATGAGGCATGATGCGTGTACACTATTAGTCAAATGTTTGGGTTTGGTAAGATTTTAAAATGTTTTTACAACTCATACGCTCACCAAGGCAATCAAAATAGCTGCTGTAATGAGTAACTGAATGTATTAACAGATTTATTACTGAAATGCTGCACAAACATGCGAAATATACCAATTTAAAATAACTTTTCTATTTAATACATAAAAAAAATGTAAACCAGTCTTCAGTTCCACATGCTCCTTCAGAAGTTCTTCCAATCTGCTGATTTGATACTCAAGAAACATTTCTTTGCATTATCGATTTTGAAAACAGTTGTGCTGCTTAATATTTTTTGTGGAAACGATGAAACATTTTTTCTCAGGATTCTTTAACGCATTGAAAATTCACAAGAATAACATTTGTTTGAAATAGAAATATTTTGTAACATCATAAATTACTTTACTCTCTCTTTTGATCAATTTAATGTGTCCTTGCTGAACAAAGGTATTCAAAAAAATCTCACTGACCCCAAACGTTTGAACAGTAGTGTTATCTGGATGAGTGCGTGTATGTACCTTATTCCTGCTCAGCTGAGCAAGTTTAAGACACCAAGGATGAGTCCATATCAAACTCAGAACATGAAGGTCCTGAAACAATCTGTTCACACCTGCTCCTTTCCCTAAAACAAAGACATTTTTTGTGACTATGTTATCAATCCGTTGGCTCAGTGTGTGCCAGTTAGGTGCTTTGACAAAATTCTTAATGTGACAATGTTTTATTTTTTATGTTTTAATTTGAATTCATAAAAACATCTGATATAAGAACGATTTAATAATTATTAACCATGTCAGTATCTAAGAGTACTTTTATGCAATACTAGATTAATATATCAGCCAATATAAGATATTTATTTGTGAATGAATGCTCATTTCTCCTGTTTTTACATTTAGATTATATTTGCCACCTTTTGAAGTTGACAAGGTTCATTTCTACTAAATTTAACACCTGTTAAATCTCAAAATAAATATTTTTGTACATTTTAATGTTATTGCACATTATAATTATATGATGCCTAAATTTTCATTTGCAACACTTACAGTAATTTTAGTTTTTAGTGTTTTATATGAAATTTATTTAGCAAAAAAATTATATTTTTTTAGCATCAGCCATACCTTGAAAGCAACTCTTTGCTTAATCTCTACTGGTTAACATTTTTTGTGCTGGTGCAGTACTAGTTAAGCTCTAGTTTGTGCTTTTGAGACTCTGACCTGTGTAGTTCTGCAGATAGTGTGTGTATAAACGACACTGCAGAGGCGTCATCCGGACTGACAGCACATACTCGTGCTTTGGCGGCAAACAGGACATCAAGACTGAGTAGTCCCGTCTCTGCAACACAAAAACAAAACATTCAGACTTTTTTTCATGGCCTTTAGCTGTATTCTATTTCTTTCTCTCTCTTCATCACCTGGATGAATCCTGACATCAACTGATGGAGGATGTGTGATCTATTCTTCATCAGTCTGACATCAGCAGGGGTGGAGTCTGCGCACTGACCGTTCTGAATTGGATTAATAAAACGGTTCCGGAACTCCTTTAGAGAACCCAGCAGGTTCTCCTTAATGAAGTTCACCATGCAGTGATCTAGAACAATAAACATAAAAAAATATAGTCAGACAAATTAATCAGCAAGTCATTTTTCACAATATGGAGATGAAAGGTGATTACACTCAGTAAGGTTGTTTTGAAGCGGTGTTCCTGTCAATATGATTCTCCTACGTGTACGTAGAGCTCGAATGGCTTTTGAGATGCTGGAGTCTGCGTTCCTAAGCACATGACCCTCGTCACATACCACCAGATCAGGGCCTAACATATAAACACACCAAACAATGGTTTAAAAATAATAGTTGAAAAAAATATATATATATCTGTTCTTAGTATTTGATTGCTAAGATGAATTCACCTGGATCCAGGAGCATTGAGCGGAAGGCTTCTTTGTGTTTGCTGTATTTGGCACTATCTGTGTGTGTCAGTATACGAAAAACCTCATAGCCCATGATCATCACACCACCATTCGTAAACCAGTCATTCAAGAGCTCAACACGAACACCCACAGATTTCACCGTGGCCATATCTTAGTATTTGATTGCTAAGATGAATTCACCTGGATCCAGGAGCATTGAGCGGAAGGCTTCTTTGTGTTTGCTGTATTTGGCACTATCTGTGTGTGTCAGTATACGAAAAACCTCATAGCCCATGATCATCACACCACCATTCGTAAACCAGTCATTCAAGAGCTCAACACGAACACCCACAGATTTCACCGTGGCCAGCTCTGCCACCTGTGTGAGAAACAAGAGAGAAGAGATAATCGGAAAAATGATCAGACATGCAGCTAAAAGTCCAGATTCAACAATGACAAGAAAACTGTCATTTTTCAGCATGTTTATGATGTTTTTGCTGAATTCTCTGCATAAGGCATAATTAGGAAATTTTGCACTGATGTAAATACATTTTGTATTCACCCAAAAATGTTAAAGATGTCATTGTCGTTTGATTTTTTTGCATTTTGTTTTCTTCTGTACAACACAAAAAGATGATGCTTCGCAGAATGTCTAGACTCCATCTACAAAAGTGGTCAGTGATATTAAGTGTCCAAAATAAGCTCCATAAAAGTCCACTGGCTTTACCTATTTGAAATTGTATCGAATGGTTATTTTAACAATGGATTTATTTAACACTAGGTTAACTTTCTATCTTGAGAGCTTTTACTGAAACAATAGGACAGCTTTACAAAAGAAAACCCTAAAAGAAATGATAATTTGACCATTTTTATTTTTGTGGGCGAGCTATTCTTTTAAGCCACCAACATACAACATACAATAAACAAAGCCGCACAGTGAAAGATTACACTCTGAAAAAAGCCCATATGTCAGCTAGTTCTACAACTTTCTGACTCACTGACCACAGTAAGAAATTAGATTTTATTCAGCAAGAAAAAAAAAAACATATCACAGTTTCTACAAAAATAAGAATAAGCAGTACAAGCATTTTGAACATCGACAATACTAAGAAATGTTTCTTGAGCACCAAATCAGCATAGTAAAATGATTTCTGAAGGATCATGTGACACTGAAGACTGGCGTAATAATGCTGAAAATTCAGCTTTGCCATCCCAGGAATAAATTACACTTTAAAATATATTTAAATAGAAAATAGTTATTTGAAACTGTAATAATATTTCACAACATTATTGTTTTGACTCAAATAATCAAATAAATGCAGCCTTGGTGAGTATAACACACATCTAAGAATCTTAACAACCCCAAGTTTTTGAATGGTAGTGAATATCTGACAAACATGATCTAGATCAAAACACTAACTAATGTCACCTGAGAAAGGAAGTGAGAGAATTCTACTGACCCACAGTATGTTGGGTCTCAAGCCCCTCTGCCACTGGTCAAACTCACTCCTCCAGTTCAGCACTGTGTTGAGAGGACAAACCACCAGAGCCCTTTTCAGTGGCAGCTCTTTACATAGCAGCACTGTGTGAAGGAACACAATGACCTGAAACACACACAATACACAGTGACGCTTTCTGTGAAAGCCACACTTTCTGATTTTACAGAAGAAAAAAAAAGAGAGAATAGTCACGTGCCCCATACCTGAAAGGTCTTTCCCAGACCCATGCAGTGGGCCAGAATACAGCCAGAGCCTGGAGTCGCCTTCACACTCTGAACAGACTCACAGCAACAGTCCCACATGAAGAGCACACCTAACAAAAACATTAACACATACACTTACATACACACTACACAAACCATCTCCACCACACGCTGTCGCTTTGTCACATCACTGACTTGCATTTCACAATGCTGCTTTATAAACGCATGTATATATTAATATGAGAAACAAGCAATCACCCATCCACTGATTGCGTTCTACTATTAGACGGAATACACACTGACTTAACTTCTCATGTCATGATTAAATATTATAAGGCATATCCTCTGACAAGCCTTGAACAATACAACACCATTCAAAAGTCAGTAATGATTTTTTTTAAAGAAACAAATACTTTTATCCTACAAGGATGCATTAAATTAATCAAAAGTGAAAGTAAAACAATTCTATACATCTAAAAATCCAAAACAAATTCCACAAAAATATTAAGCAGCTCAACTGTTTTCAACATTGATGATGATAAAAATGTTTCTTGAGCAGCAAATCGGCATATTAGAATGAATTCTGAAGGATCGTATGACACTGAAGACTGGAGTACTGGCTGCGGAAAATTAAGATTTGCATCACAGGAATAAATTACATTTCAAAATATATTCAAATAGAAAGCATGTATTTAAAATTCTAAGAATATTTAACAACATTACTACACAGGCCAGAAACCTGCACTGGTCCTTATTGGTAAACACGCACCATCTCTGCACCCAATATTGTCAAATTGTCAAAAAGAGGTGACTTAATACATTTGAGAAGCATAAAAGGTATAAATAAAAAAAACAATGAACATTATTTGACATATAAAAACAGCCTCTGCAATTTGACTCACAGCCCACAAATTGCCCTGCAAATACAAAATATTTTTTTAAAACAATTACATCAAATATTAGTGTTTGACCCAATGCAGGACTCTGACTTAAGCGGTCCCAATGGCTTCTGTCTCTTTATGGAATTCTGTACTAACTTGACGATGGTGAGATTAGATCTCTGTGGATAATTACACTCTAATACAAAAGTTCTCTCACCCTCTCGCTGGTGAGGTTTGAGTTTGCTCAGAAAGTGCAAGTGCACTTGCAGCACAGGCTTATGTGTTGCATCATCTTGCTCGAGAACCAATGGTGTGAAGCTATGAGCCGGTTTCTCGGACACTAATATGACCTAAAGCGGATGAAAGGGGGGAAAAAAAATTACAACAGACAGACAAAACACTAATTTTCAATTCAGCTTAAAATCATTCCATTAATAATTAATTATGTTTTTTTTTTTTTTTTTAAATGGGATATCTCACCCAAAAAGGAAAATTCTGTCATTAATCATACACGCTAAAAAAAAAAACGTCCTTCTTTTGCGGTCCGAGTCATCATTATCTGCAGAAAAACTGTTCTCATGTAACAATAAAACTATATGTATACAATCTCTAATAACATTTTTAACTTTGACTAATCTGTTGCAGATTTGTTACTATTAAAATTTTTTTTTAAATTAGTTACAAAAAGTAACTTAAAACTACATGAAACATTTCAGTTTCAGAGGCTGGCTATGTTATTTATCAGAAACCGCATATATATATATTGAGATAGGATTTATAAGGTCTATAATTCCCCATGGTACCCGTGGTAATGGCCATCGCTCACCTTCCTCTTCTGTTGTCTCTGATGTTCTGTCAATGTTCTTGCTCTTCTTCTGCTCTTCTCTCGTGCGCTCTGATTGCTCATCGGAGCTGGTGTCCAGCTCGGATGCTGAGGAGAGGTTAGCTCTGATCTGAGCCAGCAGAATCTTCTTCGCAATTCTTTATAGAGTAAGTGATGGGATGAGGCAGTAATGAGAGAATAGAGACAGATGAAGAGAAGAGGGATGAAGAGAAAAGAAAGAGGGACAAAATGTGAGGTGGGTGACAGATGGATCCAGATTCATTAAACAACGTATCTTTCTCCCACCGCTTTCACTGTAATTTTTTTTAATTGCCCTCAAATAGTAGCAAAATAATTATTTTTGTTATGCTGAAACAACTCAGAAAAACAGAAGACATTTCAATTCTAAATTTCCATACCAACCATGATTGTAAATATAACTGCATATATAAAATATAAATTAACATAACAGGTTATTGGACAGTGTAAAAGATCCAATGGACTGTTAAGTGGTCAGTTAAGTTTGCAAATTATTACCAAAAAAAAAAATATTAATAAAATAAATATATATAACTTATTACTGAGTGAGATGTAAACCCAAAAAAAAAAACATGAGGCTCTACATTTGAACTTGGCACCTCTGTATATTTCAAACTAAATGCACCAGCCCCCAAAAAAAGATATATAAATACATATACAAAATGCACAGAGGCCGTTGTGTCTGGGGTATAAACTTTTATTACAGCTTCAATTCTTATACAGTTCTCACACAGTTATTTACATTCCCTCTTCTGAGATGCAAAATCATGCATGCTTCTTTTTGATGAAAATGATGTTTCTGCGTAAAACGCTTCAGTAAAACTACAATAATAAATACTTCCAAACAAAGAACATTAGCATGCAATAAATACTCAAGCTTTAGGCTTTTTGAAATCCAATGAGCATGAGAGGATTCCACAAGACAGTAAAGAAAAGGACAACAAACAGAAAAGGACACTTTTAAAGACGGGTGAAAAATGGCAGGGGTTCATTTATGTTAATTAAGGTTAGGCAGGGTTCCCACTCTGTCCAAGACATTACTTTCCATTTCTTCAAGGCATTTTGTGTGACCAACATCTTTAATATTTGAGAAATACATTTGTGGCCTGCTGTTGTTCGCCACAGAAAATGAAGCTGACTTGTCCATTGGTTTTTAAAATTGAAAAAATAAATAAAGTTCTGCACTTACAATGGAAGTCTAATAGGTATGAGCTTTTAAAAGTAGAAAGTTGATTTTACATGAATTCTTCAGTAAAAACAGTTTGTCATTTGAATTAAGTTCAAGGTTCAGGAATTGACTGAGCTTATATACACTAAACACAAACACAAAAGATATTAATCAGAATTTCATATTCTGATTCGATAGCACCAGTCTCATGCAATGTGTAAGTGTTGTGGTTATGGAGAGGAGTCAAGTCATTTTCTGTGGTGATCGACTGCTGGCCACAGCTTCCGATTCTGCGGTTTAACCGAGAAAATTATTTTAAATCAAAGATGAAAAGAAATTACAGGTGATATGAGGTACTGTGGTTACTGGCATGGTTCTAAATGCACAGTTAATGTGAACTAGTCATTCATTTGTGCTACCAGAGAAGCTTCCGGTAGATTCAAACTGTCCACTCCAATAAGCTGGACAAGGTAACCAACCTTTGGGAAGCAATACTAATAATCTTTTGCAATGTGTGTGATGTCAACATCACTTGATATCAATCCGTGAAATCGGAGCGAAGAACAGAAATGACAGTGAGTGTGCAGACTATGACGTGGACCTGCTCATGACAATACACAGGCAAACGCAGATGATAAAACAAAACGATATGATTCTGCGACGTCATTCATGACAGAATACATGAGAACTGACCGCAGTTCCGAGTCCCGATCGGTCCAAGGATTTCTTCATTTTACAAAAACGTTGTCAATACGGCGAACCAGTTTGATTAAAAGGTTACAGTAAACACAATTTCCAGGACAGTTGGGTACATTTCCCACGACTTATCCATTACTGGAAAATCACATTACAAAATTCCAGGTTTTCCAAGATGCGTGGGAACCCTGTTAAGCTACAGAAAAAGAGACGAAACGGGGGGTGGGGGGGGGGGGGGGGGGAGAGAAACAGAGAACAAGAGAAACAATAAATAAGTGTTTATTGCCTCTCGGTAAGAACCATGCACATAACACACAGAAACCTCTCATGTGAGAGTGAAGACTACACTCTTTATCCTCAAAACACAGTGCTTTTAACAACTGACTACACAAACGCTTACAGACTGCATGTTGAGTCTGAAAGAGCATCATCACTGCCACCTGCTGCTGCCCCGTGAACATTCTAACACAAAAAGCCAGCTCCACCAAAGCAATCATTGCTCATTAGCGTTTATTCAGCCTTTTAACCATTTTTATTAATATTTATATTTAAGAAAAAAAAAAGTCAGCCCTAAATGTACACTGCGTGAGTGTGCACCATTACTCAGTGTATCAGAGCGCATGCACCAACTGCTGGGCCATGGCTCCGATCTAAGCTACCGTTTTGAAGCACCAACTCAAAAACCAACCAAGTTTCCCTGTCCTTCACATTTCCAAATTCTAACATCCATCACTTTCTGCTAAAACGGGATGAACTTTTGATCTTCTCGCCAATTCCCGAGGACATGTATACTGTGCAAAAGATGTGAAAATTAAATAATGAACCAATAAAAACACACAAGTAACTAAGTGCAAAAACGTTAACAAATGCAGTTTAGACCAATACAAATGCATCTTCAGCTTAAGCACCTTAAACGTAGAAAATTCGGCTGTCGAGGAATTAACCTCCTGAAAAAGAACAAACACAGCTGCGTTCAACAAACCCTAATACTGTACTACTGCATCCCTATCTGCAATCTAAGACACGTTTGTTCACTTGAATTCCACATTTCACTGCCAATAACAAAAGTATTATGTGAAACTACTGTAAGACCTACCGTTAGCAAACCACACAGCCTTTGTTCTGACTGACCGAAAACATTACAGCACGAGAACCCGGAAGCTGAGCCCTAAAACACAAACACACAAGAGGTTGTCTGTCTTTCTGAACACAGGATCCATCAGATCCGAGCAAAGAGGTTTAGACTCGTTCTACTCTCTTAAAAGCTTTATTAGCAGCACAGACAGTAAAGAGGAAGAGTGCGGCTAGCAGAAATACTGCCTAAGACATGCAATGGTCTGTGTCAGTGAAGTGGAATTCAAACACAGGAGCTTCTCCAGAGTTGATTCACTGACTTCCATTAGACAGTGAGGTCTCATAGCTTCACCACTGATGGGCGGCGATGTGTGCCTACGGTTACAGATTCTCTCTACTGCGTGCGGAAGAAACTGTGGGGAAATAAAAATCGGACAGTGTTGATCGAGCAAAAAAAGTGTGTTTGAGTGAGACACATGTTTAAAAGCACTGTCTAGCGGTGGTGCGTGTGGATGTACGGGATGCTTGCGAGCTTTTAAATGAGGTTTGGATCGAAGCTCTCGCTGTAGTGAGTTTGGGACAGCTGGAGTCCAGTGGAGAAGGCCTGTGATGGGAAAGTGTGTGTGGCCCTGATGTAGACAGAATCGTACCTATTTTCTAAATCATCGTCCTCCACAGACAAAGACGGACCTGGCTGGATGTCTATCTCATCACCTAGAGACAGACGGAGAGAATGAAGGATTAACACCAGTTTTGTTTCTGAAATATGAAAAACACTGTAATACATTGCAGTTAGTGCTGGGCGGTATGACCAAAAAGTTATATCACGGTATTTTTCAAAATTAGACCAGTTTCACGGTATAAATTTTTTTTTCATGCATGATCGGGTGTTAACCATATATTCTACTGATTGAGAGAGGAAATACTGCAGTATATTGACTTAGAATGCCCTATTTTACTGTCATGATGAGTGAATATTGTCAAAAAATACCACACTAAATAGTGACTAAACATGACCCCTTTTAATACATGTTAACCAGGAGTCACTCATTTATAATCGCAGCATCGTCTGATAAAATCAACATGCATCTACACTAAATAGCGGCTATGCGGTTGTTTTGGCTATATTACTTTTTTGTCTCATGCAGTGCACTGCCTGCATCTGAGTAACAATCTAAAAAAACAACAACAAACAAAAAAAGTGCATGTGATATGAACTACGCTCATATTTATAATTCCAAACAAACAGTAAGTGACAGGTGCTTGGAAACGCTGTTTTGTACTCATTTATTGACGATTCGGCTGCGGTGCGGCCAACTGAATGCACTGCTTCTCTGCCGCTCACTGCACAGAACAGACACCGACAGAGGTGACACTTCTCCGGGAAAGTCAGACCCACAAGAATTGCGGGACAGCACTGGCGAAATCTTCCAACTGAACCATAGCTAAGGTTTATCCAAAAAAGTCGCTATGTTTGTCAGTATGTATATTCTATGGGGAAAAATACACAAAGGGTCTGAAAGTTGCTAAATCTAGTGCTAAAGTCGCACTCGTGTGAGACGCGGGAGCTGATGGCAGGGGGCGGTGGATATTTGTGGCGGTCAATGTGGATATTGCGGATGAGATCATGTTCTATTGGTTCTACTGCTTTAGTTTCGGAACTTTCACGCTTAGTAACACATGCAGCTGTTCCCTCACGACAGTGCAACAGTGAAAAGGGACCCCTCTCAAACAGTGTCGCGTTCCGAACGTTGTTTATGCAACATACACCGGTATTGCGATATTTAAAAAATTCATAACAAAAATAAAAACCGGTATTCGGTATGAACCGGTATACCGCCCAGCACTAATTGCAGTACATTGTAATAACGTTCTACCGGTCTTACTATATGAAGAGAATAATGGTCAGTGTTGGCTTTTTTCACCAAACTCACCGGAAGACTGCTGGAAATTTCCAGAGCCCAGCAACGTGACGTCCTCTGTCAGCGGCTTGATCCTCTGATCGTCAGAGTCGCTGCTCGGCCCACTCTCCAGATCCTGTCCTCCCACCTCACTTGACGAACTTCCGCTCTGTCCCGTCACCCTGGCAACTTTGCGGGCCCTTCCCCTGGTCATTCTGACCACTGACCCCTGGTCCTGGGAGCCCCTCCTTGAAGACGCAGAGGAGGATGATGAGGACGATGAGGATCTCTCTTTGAGATTCCGCTTACGAGAGCCTCTGTCCGGAGGTGTCGTTTTTACCAGTCCAAAGAGACGCTGCTTTCTGACTTGCTGGTTTACCTCGTCCTCGTCCCCGTCCCAACTGCTACCTAACAAACCCTCTTCCTCGCTGTTTGCCATGGCAGCAGTGGTCTGGAGCAGCACTTCAGGCACCTCGTCAGAATCAGAGTCATCCTCAGCTGAACCGGCGTGCTCAGCTGTGGTGCTCGGGTTCGTCCGCCGACGACGTGGTGTGGTTTTCACACGTGGAGAACGTTTATTCTCCTCTGATAAAGACACATTTTTGGGGTCAGTTTGGTCCTCATCCTCCTCTTCCTCATCATTAACACAATTTTCCACATCTTCTCCTGTCTCGGTCATTTCCTCCATTTCCTTCTCCTTCTCTATTTCCACCATTGTCTCTCTTTCTTCCAGTGCTCCATCTGTCACCTCACTGTTTATCGTTTGTCTCTCAGGTGATGGATGAATGGAAAGACACGTTCTGCTGATGGGTTGTGGGCTGACCGGTACAGGAGTGAGTTTAACCACCAGCTTTTTAGTGAGTCCTAGGCTCTGTGATGACATTCTCTTCTTTTTTCTGGCCCTCCCTTTTGGCTTATGTGTTTCTCCACAGCCACGTTTGGACCCAGTCAGCTCATGGTCCAGGGCTTCCTGCAATTACGAATTAGACAATGCTGTAATACATTCATGTGAACAAACTGTAACAAAAATCTATCACAAGCTGCGCAAAACCACGATCATATTTTGCGCAGCATGTCGGTGAACAACGGCTCTGTGTAGTTAATGCTGCTAAATGTGAAAGCCCGCACGTGATGGAGATTTACCGCTGATTACAGAATGGCTTTACTGACAAGATGCGCGTTAAATATCGCATACGATTTATCGTGCAGCCCTATCTCATAGTTATAATGTATTATAAGTCTCATATCTTGCCATCTTTCTTATGCTACTTTACTTAAAGCCATCAAAGACCACTTATAAGTATAGTAATAATAAAAAAAAAAATTCTCAAACAGCCATAAGATCAGATGAATGTGTAATAAGACATATTTACTTTGAACTATTTTTAATGTAATATCAGTTTGATTATTTTGATGGTTCCTCAACAGACAAACTGACTATAAGTAACTTTGCAAGTACGTCAACATTCTACCAACCCTAACCTTAACCTAAGCCTACTAATACTCTAATGAGAGTTAGTTGACATGTAGTTGCAAAGTTGCTTATAGTCAATAGACTAGGGGGACCATCAAAATAAAATGTAACCTAACATATAAACATTGCATTTTTTTTCAGTTGAAATTATTAACTAGCTCACATCACAATTAATATTAGCCTCACAGGGAACACTCAAATAACACTCCACACCTAACCACTTACAAGATGTAGTAAGATACTGTGCAGATCTTAAATAAACAATGTCAAGATAGTCCATTATAAATGTAAAAATAGATTTTATATGGTGTTCATTGTGTGTTATAAATAATCATAATCTTAAAACTTATAACCACAAATGCATAAGCATTATAATGTACTATAATTGTTGTTATGATTATTTATAAGAGGATAAACATATTATAAGCTCTTTTATAATGCATTATGCATTCATTATAATGTCTTAAGAATACCCTTATAATGTGTTATAAATATGGGCTTCATAGAAAGTGTAACCAAAATGTTTTCTAAGCAACAAGCATATTAAAATGATTTCTGAAGGATCATGCAACACTGAAGACTGAAGTAATGACTGCTGATAATTTAGCTTTGCCATCACAGGAATAAATATTTAAATTAGTTTTTTTTTTATTAACAATATTGTTTTCACCATATTTTTCATCAAATTATTGCAACCTTGGTGAGCTTAAGAGACTTCTTGTAAAAACATTATTATAATCATTATATAAAATATATATTTTATATATTAATTATATTGAATATTTGATAATTTATTTATTATCGTGCAGGCTCATTTTCCTATTTTTACACTTAATTACCTACGCTCAGTTGAAGTTCATTTTTAAACACTAATCATTTATTATTATTTAATTGACACTTAAATGTAATCTGTATTCATCTCAAATTTAATATGTTTATCATACTGTACATTATAATGTTAAGATGCCGGAATTCATTTTTACTAACATTTAAAATGATTCATTTTAGTTTTTGTGTTTTGCTTTTAACTTGTTAAAACTAAATTAGATTTTTTTTGGTCTTAATGAAACAATGATTACCAGCTTATTGGTGCATCCATAATTGAAATGTAATGGTTAGTTAAAGCACCCATCATTCTTACAGCTTAACTAGTAAAAGCGTGATTTAAGGCTGGAATTACCTGTAATGCACTGTTGGCAGCTTGCAGATCATCCAGCACAGTGCGGAACATCCTTAGCTGCCCAATTCTCTCTTCTTGGTTTCCTTCCTCCTCTCTTTCGCTTTGAACAACTGCCTTGAAGGAATGGTTCAGAGATGTGGTAACATCTACAAACCGCTGCATTCGCTGGTAAAGGCCAGCAGAGGGCACTGGGCCACCTCCTGGCCCCATCAAATAGGCCGCACCACGACCACCCTTATTAGCCCTGCCCGAGGCTCGTTTCTGAGCCTGCTCCAGGTTCTCTAGAACCGCATCACAGGCCAAAACCAGCTCCACCAATGGCTCAGGACTGCACACATAACAGTACCACTTCCTCTCCTCCTCCAGGATGGTGGAAAGCTCCTTCCTCCCCAGGTTACGCAGAACACATTTCTTACAGAAGGCGTTACTGCAGTAATCACAGCCAATTAGGCTGCCTCCTTCTGCACACCACCTGAATGAACAGGGAATTAGATAACTTATTTTACAGACAAGTAGATACAAAGTAGACCCTATCAACTGTGAGATGATACCACACAGTTTTCCACCAATATGCATGTATGATCTGCTTAGTGACTGTTAGGCTGCCATTTTCAGCGGTTAATCTCTTAAAACCTATTGAAAAATGCATTTCACCCAAAATTAAAAGGAAAAAAAAATGTGCAAAAAGAAAACTAGATGAGTAAAGTTTGACAAACTTTAAGTTGGCTTGAAAAAGCCTAGCCAGAAAGTTTGAAGTAGTTTTAAAAGCTTGCAGTCTGAAAGTTTTCAGTTTGAAGTAGTTTGAAAGTTAAAATGATTTTAAAGATTATAGTTTGAATGTTTTCAAGGCAATACAGTCTATCAGAAAATAGATATAAAACATATTGCTAGGGTACCTGGGGTGGTTGCTAGGCTGTTTCTAGCATGACTAGCATGTTGCTAACATGTTTTTAGCATGATTAGCATGTTGCTAACATGTTGCTAGCATGATTAGCATGTTACTAACATGGTTAACATTTTGTTAGCATGATTAGCATGTTACTAGCATGTTTATAACATGATTAGCATGTTATTAGCATGTTGTTAACATAATTAACATGTTACTAGCATGGTTACCATTTTGTTAACATTAGTAGCAAGTCACTAGCATGTTTCCAGCATGTTACTAACATGTTACCATTTTGTTAGCATTAGTAGCAAGTCACTAGCATGTTTCCAGCATGTTACTAACATGTAGCTTGCATGATTAACAAGTTACTAGCATGCTGCTAGCATTATTCTAGCATGATCTTAACATGACTAACATGTTACTAGCATGTTTATAACATGATTAGCATGTTATTAGCATGTTGTTAACATAATTAACATGTTACTAGCATGGTGTTACCATTTTGTTAGCATTAGTAGCAAGTCACTAGCATGTTTCCAGCATGTTACTAACATGTAGCTTGCATGATTAACAAGTTACTAGCATGCTGCTAGCATTATTCTAGCATGATCTTAACATGACTAACATGTTACTAGCATGTTTATAACATGTTTAACAAGTTGCTAGCATGTTTCTAGCATGATTAGCAAGTTACTAGCATGGTTAGCATGTTACTAGCATGTTGTTAACATGATTAGCAAGTTACTAGTATGCTGCTTGCATTATTCTAGCATGATTAACATGTTATTCGCATGATTTTAACATGATTAACATGTTACTAGCATAGTGCTAGCATGTTTATAACATGTTTAGCAAGTTTCTAGCATGTTGTTAAAATGATTAAGTTAATAGCATGTTGTTAGCATGGTGTTAGCATTATTAGCAAGTAAATTACTAGTATGTTAACATGATTAGCAAAGTTACTAACAAGTTCGCTAGCATGATTCTAGCATGATTAGCATGTTAATAGCATGATTCTAGCATGATTAACAAGTTACTAACATGATTAGCATGTTAACAGCATGTTGCTAGCATGATTCTAACATGATTAACAAGTTACTAGCATTTTGCTATCATAGTTAACATGTTACTAACATGTTAACATGATTCTAGCATGATTAGCATGTTAATAGCACGATTAACATGTTAACAGAATGTTGCTAACATGATTAACAAATTGTTAGCATTTTTCTAACATGGTTAACATGTTAATAGCATCTTGTTAGCGTGATTAGCATGTTGCTATCATGTTTCTAACATGATTAGCAAGCTACTAATATGTTAGCATGATTATCACGTTTCTAGCATGATTAGCAAGTTACTAGCATGTTTGCTAGCATGATTAGCATGTTACAAGCATGTTGTTAGCATTATTAACAAGTTACTAGCATGTTTCTAGCATGATTAACATGTTACTAGCATGTTTCTAGCATGATTAACATGTTACTAGCATGTTGTTAGCATGATTAACATGTTACTAGCATGTTGTTAGCATGATTAGCAAGTTACTAGCATGTTGTTTGCATGTTTCTATGGTAATACAGTTAAAACCAGCTAAACCCAGTTGATTCAGTAAAAAACTCTGCTAAAAACCAGCTTAGGCTGGTTGTATAGTCTTAGCTGGTTTAAGTTAAAAATATCTGGGTTAAGCTTGGTTGGTCTTTTAACAGGTCTCACAGCTTGACCAGCTAAGATCAGCCTGACCAGCTAAAAAGTTGCCAAAACCACTTTAAAACAAGCCTGGGAGACCAGCCAATCAGCTTAGGCTGGTTTTAGCAGTTTTTTCAGTAGGGAGTTTTTAAGCTTTGCTATGGCAATAGACAGCTTAAAAACACCATAAGTCTCATTGTATAAAGGTTTTCACACCCTCAATGAAAATCTATGAGATTTTAGGTGGTTTTGATTGTCTGGTTTACTAAAACCATAAGTCGGATCGGTTAGAAAAGATATAGCACACAGAGTCAGACCAGTCTGAAGGTCTGACCCGAGTCTGGTGGTTGTAGCTCAAGGACAGGGGTCGGGAACCTTTTTTGAGCAAAGAGCCAATTTTTTTTATTTTTGGTTAATGCATTTTCCAAAAGAGCATATATATATATATATATATATATATATATATATATATAAAACAGTTCGTTCTGGCTCTCAAATGTGATTGGTTGACAACCATGAATTATTGTACTGGTATCGCTACAGGAACGCCCTTTCACAATTTTGCATCACTCCGCTTGTTCTAGCCGGGTCAATGTTTTTTTTTTTTATTATTATTATTCACTGAGCTAATCGTAGAGTAAGTTAGTTAACATAAGACGAAACGTCTAGCTTCGCGGTCTCTCTCTCTCTCATTTGGATGCACGTCTTGCCACATTGTTTCTCTCTTATAACCTCATTTCTCACTAATAACCTAACTGAAGCAGCACATGCCCTTGATACGAATTCTAAAAGTGACATATGTTTAACTGTCAACTTGAGCTTTGAATCCGTGGCGGAAGGAAGTAGTAGAATAATAATACGTTTAAATAGTAGATCCGTAAGTTGGCTTTATCAAGCCAACTTAATAATGCCTATTTTAAAATCACCTTTTTGCATGGCGTTTTAATTATGGTTACATTAGATTTAATCTGTAAAGCATTTTTGTTTAAAACAGGAACAACCGCGGTGGGATTTATCATATTGAATTTAATTTATGTTGCCTAAGAAGAAAATGTCAATACATAAATGTATAATTTTATAAATCAAACTTTTCTTTGTGTTATTCACCTGCACAAGTTTGGTCATGACATACATTAATAAGATCCATTTATATTACATTTTTAATCAGCTACATAATATTCACTCTAGACAAAAGTGAGAAAAGCAGCTCAACTTTTTAACAAAATACTCTTTCAAATACATCCAATGTAATGAACACCATTTCACCGAACTGTCACACACACACTCACTCCATGTACCTGCATTGCTCGTCCATCCCCTCTGAATCTTTGCTGATGTCATCGCTCATATAATACTTAAAACAACTCTACAAGAAAGCAAACAAATCCATATAAAACTCTAAAGAAGGATTAACTACTTGTCACTAAATCATGCAACTTACTACATAATGCAGGCATGAAAAAAAACTCTTCTTTTCGGTTTACATTTCTACTTTACATTTACATACACAAACGCAATTAATGCACAGACACATACCTTGCAGATGAGGACATTGAGCATAGGATGCCTGTAGATGGAGTCACGTTGGAAATGATTCACCTGCTGACCACACGCTGTGCAGTTCACCCTCTCCATCTCATATCCTCCTAACACACAAACACAAATGAGTACCCCTACACCCTGGCACGCACAGCTACAAGTGTCCTTTCACACACTTCAGCTGCAACATGAAGGTTACACACTGTTAATGGAGATCCACAGAGAACATTCTGAATTCTGTACTGAGAAAAAAATAATATTCTGCATAAGACAAGGTTAACTGATAAGCCTTTTCTGGACACTGCATGCTTTGTTTCATTCTTGCTACAAACTGACTGGGTGCTTGGGAACATCTCAGACAGGATTTGAGGTGGCCATTATCAATATTTTTTTCTGGGAAACAAAAGTATCACCATCAGTTTGGAAATTTTAGTTAAATAAAAGGACACTTTAATCAAAGATAGAGGTTGGCGATTAAACCAAAATCATAAATCAAGTAGATATATTTCACAATAACCCCATTTAAAATCACCATTTTAATTTATTAAACCTTTGTTAATGTAAAATAAAACACTGCAGTCTTCACTGTATGAATGAAATATACATCAATCCTTATTAGGGCTGTCGCGATTTGTCAATTTTATTCGACTATTCGATTTTTTAAATCCTCGACTTCATTTTGCTCGCGTCGACTAACCGGCAAAATACCGGAAGTGGCGCATTTCACAGACGAGAATGTATAAAACATTATTAGTCTGTTTTCCAAGGCTGCATGATATATTAAACCCATTTAAAAATCATAATTAAGCATAATTGTGAATTCACAAACGCTACGATTTAATTAAATAATTATATGCGATGCAGTTCTAATATAGTGTATGTGCTTTATTTACATGCGTGTAGATTAAGTACATGCGTCACACAGCGGCTCCGTTCACAGTAGTTCCACAGGAACTGTTATCATTTACATGTGTGGAGCGTCTCAAACTCCATCTCTGCATGTTGTTGTGAGTTTGGGTTTATTATAACGTTCATCTGGAAATGCAACATGCGCCATTTCATCAGATTTGTAAGGTAAATCATTTATAAATCTTCCCAAACACAGGAGAATACATCACGGTTTCAAAATAAAAGCTCAAACCCTCACTCTGAGTTTACACGTTTTGATGTCCACATATTCATTAAATTACTGTTGCTATAGCATTTCTGTCCTAAAGAAATGGCCAAATATTAAAGATTAAGTGGACATTTGAATGAAATGGTGCTTGGTCAATATTAAACAAGGATTAGATTGCACAGTAATGTGTAACAACAATCGTCAGGCCGTTGGTGCCCCCTGCAGGCCTTTGTTGTAATGCATAACGTACATTATCTCTATTGTTTACAATACATTATGTATTTTAACAGTTTTGTTCAATAAAACCATATGATTCTATTTTAATGGTTCCATTAAATTTTAATAATCAAAAGCATCTCCAATTAAATTTTTTTTTTCTTAATTTTTCTCCTAAATAAATTCTGGTAAATAACATTTCTTGTAAATACTCCTTTAAAAAGGTTTTTTTTAATTATAATTTTATTATTAGTAGACTAGAACACGTGGATATGTTGTCATTCTTGCACTATAATACTGAACTTTGATTTCAGTCATTTGGACTATGAGATGGACACTTGCTTCTAGCACTTTATGTAGCACTTTACTTTTTTACTTTTGGATTTCATTTGGTTTAATGAAATATAGGTTAATAAAATATTCTTAAGTAAAATTGTAGATTTTTTTGTGGGAAATTAATCGTGTAGTCGATAAATTAGTCGATAGATTAATGAAAATCAAAATAGTCATTAGTGGCAGCCCTAAACCTTATCAAAACTACTGAAGTTATTCAGTCAAGAACACAGTGATTTTCTCTTTGTCTTTTGTGGTTTGATTAGCAGACACAGAGCAGCAGGTATATTATTAGGCTGCTGTCCCTTTAAGACTTGATGCATGGATCTCATGTACTGATATATAAGAACTGTTTATGCTCACTTAAGACACAGACTATGTTTATGTGAATTCTTGCCAAGTCAAGCATTTAGACGCTATTCTGTGTGTATCTGACCATAATAATAAGCCGTAAATGAAAACTGAATTCAGTATGGTATTTTGTCAGAGGCTTTCAGTGTATGTTTCAGATGTGTGTCCGGGTTATTATACTTAAAAACTCTAATCATCAAACACACCCACCCTGTCAATAACTTTAAGCAGTCTTGCATTAGATATATTTACATACCACAATATGGCAAAATCGCTATCAATACACACTTTATATCATCTCAACAATATATCATATCAACCAGCTCTAATGAAACAAGCATTAAAAAAAAGGCATAAAGATGGCGCAGCCATGGCCGCCTCGGTTTGTTGCTCCTTGGTACTTTTACTGTTTTTGTTTGTTTGTCCTGTCTACTAGAACACGTGGATATGTTGTCATTCTTGCACTATAATACTGAACTTTGATTTCAGTCATTTGGACTATGAGATGGACACTTGCTTCTAGCACTTTATGTAGCACTTTACTTTTTTACTTTTGGATTTCATTTGGTTTAATGAAATATAGGTTAATAAAATATTCTTAAGTAAAATTGTAGATTTTTTTGTGGGAAATTAATCGTGTAGTCGATAAATTAGTCGATAGATTAATGAAAATCAAAATAGTCATTAGTGGCAGCCCTAAACCTTATCAAAACTACTGAAGTTATTCAGTCAAGAACACAGTGATTTTCTCTTTGTCTTTTGTGGTTTGATTAGCAGACACAGAGCAGCAGGTATATTATTAGGCTGCTGTCCCTTTAAGACTTGATGCATGGATCTCATGTACTGATATATAAGAACTGTTTATGCTCACTTAAGACACAGACTATGTTTATGTGAATTCTTGCCAAGTCAAGCATTTAGACGCTATTCTGTGTGTATCTGACCATAATAATAAGCCGTAAATGAAAACTGAATTCAGTATGGTATTTTGTCAGAGGCTTTCAGTGTATGTTTCAGATGTGTGTCCGGGTTATTATACTTAAAAACTCTAATCATCAAACACACCCACCCTGTCAATAACTTTAAGCAGTCTTGCATTAAATATATTTACATACCACAATATGGCAAAATCGCTATCAATACACACTTTATATCATCTCAACAATATATCATATCAACCAGCTCTAATGAAACAAGCATTAAAAAAAAGGCATAAAGATGGCGCAGCCATGGCCGCCTCGGTTTGTTGCTCCTTGGTACTTTTACTGTTTTTGTTTGTTTGTCCTGTCTTAAGCAACATTTTTCGGATCAGCTTCACTAGAAACGAACTCTTGGACGTAAGGAATGTGCTATTCCTTATGTCCAAGAGTTTGTTTCTAGTGAAGCTGATAACTTTTTGCCGACATTTGAACATTCAGATGTTTTACTGGACATTTTAGTCGGAGGAGCTGCGTTCCTATACAAGCGCTCCAGGCCACACACGCGAGGAAAGCGCGCCGGCGCACTCGTGAAACTCCGTCAGCGCGGCTTTAGGACTCCGCTTCTGAGTATTCATCTGGCGAATCTCCGCTCCCTTGCAAATAAATCAGACAAACTACAACTCCTCACCCGCACAAACAAGGACTTTTTCAACTCAGCTGCACTTTGCTTCACGGAAACCTGGCTGAACGGAGCCATCCCGGACAGCGCGCTTCATCTAACGGGCTTCCAGCTGTTCAGAGCGGACAGTGTCACCGAGTCGTCGGGGAAAACGAGAGGTGGTGATTATGTTTTTATATCAATAAAGGTGGTGTACAGACGTGACAGTTTTAAAGAAGATGTGCTGCCCAAACTTGGAAGCTCTCTTTATTAACTGTAAGCCTTTTTATTCGCCGCTGGAGTTTTTTCTCGTTTATTCTGGTGAGTGCGTACATTCCTCCTGATGCGCGTGTAAGCGCGGCACTAGAACTGTTGGCCGATTAAATTACACACACAGAGCTGCGTTATTCTTTTACTCTAAAATAGTCTTTCATTATCATTCTCGGAGGTTTTAATAAAGCTAATCTCGCCCATGAAATGCCTAAATAAAGACAGCACATCACATGCCCCACCAGAGACAGCAATATACTGGACCACTGCTACACTGTTTTAAAGGATGCATACCACTCTGTCCCCCGAGCAGCGCTGGGACTCTCTGATCATTGTTTGGTTCATCTTCTACCAGCCTACAGGCAGAAACTCAAATCTGCTAAGCCTGTAGTTAAAAACTGTAAAGACATGGACTGTTGAAGCAGAGCAGGATTTACAGGCCTGCTTCAAACTTACTGACTGGAGTGTTTTTGAGGCTGCAGCTACTGATCTGGATGAGCTTACTGACACCGTGACATCCTACATTAGTTTCTGTGAGGACATTTAACTTATTTAACATTTAACAATGACAAACCTTGGTTCAGTACAAAACTCAAACAGCTTTCCCCAGGCCAAAGAGGATATCTACAGGAGTGGGAACAAACACTTGTACAAACAGGCCAAATACACACTAAATAGGGAGATAAGAGTGGCAAAGTTAAACTACTCTAGAAAGCTAAAAAAACCAGCTTACCAGTAATGACCCTACATCAGTGTGGAAAGGCCTGAAAGCCATCACCAGCTACAAGACCCCATCCCCCAGCACTGAGGCCAATCAACAACTGGCTGAAGACCTGAACGAGTTTTACTGCAGGTTTGAAAAGCAAAAGCCTGGTCTGACACCCCACACCCTCTCACAGCACAGTCATCAACACCCTCCCCCCTACTGTTTCTCAACCTGTACTCAAGATCTGTGACGATGATGTAAGCAAAGTCTTCAGGAGACAGAAGATTAGGAAAGCCAAAGGCCCAGATGGTGTCTCTCCAGCCTGCCTCAAAGCCTGTGCTGTCCAGCTATCATCCATCTTCACATTGATCTTCAACAGATCACTAGAGCTGTGTGAAGTCCCCTCAAATGCTCCACCATCATCCCTGTACCCAAGAAACCAAAAATCACAGGACTTGATGACTACAGACCTGTTGCTTTAACGTCTGTGGTGAAGTCATTTGGAAGACTGGTGTTGGCCCACCTGAAGGACATTACTGGACCCATGCTGGACCCCCTGCAGTTTGCTTACCAAGGAAACAGGTCTGTGGATGATGCAGTCAATATGGGACTGCACTAGGGGTGTGCGATAAAAATCTCCTGCGATAATATCGTAATTGTTTTTTTAACGATGTGCGATTTGACATTATCGAGTATTTTGCAAAAACCATTCAAAACATCCCTACAGAGCGCACGCATACATCACGTGAAGTCTAGACTAGTGCGTGTGTGCATTTAGTGTGTTTTCTTTCACTGCATGATTCAGCCAATTAAAACGCATTTAGAATGATCACAAATTCAAGACATGGCAGAAAATGTATATATTTATACCACTTCATATAGTTATTCAATTTCACACGAAGAGTGCTGTTTTTCTCCAAAAATTACCATGATTACAAATGTGACCTTTAATTCAATAAACAATAAGTTAATTAAGAGACTTACGTTTTAGACACCATATTGCTTGTTTTTGCTATTTCGCCAACAAAAATCATTCCGAATACAGCCACAGCTCAGCAAAATATCGTCTAATTATCGTTATCGATAAAATCCCATAAAATATCGAGATATAATTTTTTTGTCAATATCGCACACCCCTAGACTGCACTACATCCTGCAACATCTGGACAAACCAGGGACTTATGCAAGGATCTTGTTTGTGGACTTCAGCTCCGCTTTCTACACCATCATCCCCGACACCCTTCAGAATAAGCAAATCAGATATAAGAAGACTGCAGCGGACTGTTAGGACAGCAGAAAGGATCATTGGTGTCGACCTGCCCAATCTTCAGGACTTGTACAAATCCAGAGTAGGCATGGGCCGATTACCGGTTTCAAGGTATACTGCGATTTGACAATTTCACGGTTTCAAAACCGCTAATATTTTCCGTTATACCGTTCCTGCGGTATGCGCTGTTTTTCATGTCTCCTCAAAGACTGAAAGTGTAGGAATCCCTCAGGTTGAGTGCAGTGTAGAGTAACACGACTCTCCTACTCCTGTTGGTGTGAGCAAGTGGTCAGAGAGTGAATCTGCATCTCATTCAGAGCTTCCGCTGTTTGTTTTGTTCAGGCATGTAGTATAATTTCACAAAGCTAGTCAGAACATTGTTTTTGCTTCAAATTGGGTTATTATTAAATCAAATTATGTATATGATTAATTATATAACTAAATATGAAATCATATAAATATGTATATGAATAATATAACTACAATTAAATAACTGTAATTACAGATTTAGGTTAAATAAAGATGTCAGTCTTTATTTTTCTTCTTTTTAGGAAACAAATCAAAGAAACACCCCTAGACTGCACTACATCCTGCAACATCTGGACAAACCAGGGACTTATGCAAGGATCTTGTTTGTGGACTTCAGCTCCGCTTTCTACACCATCATCCCCGACACCCTTCAGAATAAGCAAATCAGATATAAGAAGACTGCAGCGGACTGTTAGGACAGCAGAAAGGATCATTGGTGTCGACCTGCCCAATCTTCAGGACTTGTACAAATCCAGAGTAGGCATGGGCCGATTACCGGTTTCAAGGTATACTGCGATTTGACAATTTCACGGTTTCAAAACCGCTAATATTTTCCGTTATACCGTTCCTGCGGTATGCGCTGTTTTTCATGTCTCCTCAAAGACTGAAAGTGTAGGAATCCCTCAGGTTGAGTGCAGTGTAGAGTAACACGACTCTCCTACTCCTGTTGGTGTGAGCAAGTGGTCAGAGAGTGAATCTGCATCTCATTCAGAGCTTCCGCTGTTTGTTTTGTTCAGGCATGTAGTATAATTTCACAAAGCTAGTCAGAACATTGTTTTTGCTTCAAATTGGGTTATTATTAAATCAAATTATGTATATGATTAATTATATAACTAAATATGAAATCATATAAATATGTATATGAATAATATAACTACAATTAAATAACTGTAATTACAGATTTAGGTTAAATAAAGATGTCAGTCTTTATTTTTCTTCTTTTTAGGAAACAAATCAAAGAAACAAATAAACAAATTCTACTGTTCCTAATATTCTGTATGTTGCTCAAAAACAAAACATTGTGTTCAGCAGAATTTGTTTTTTACCCAGTCATTTAAAAATAACACATTTTAGAGCTGTAACGACAATACCGTGATATTTTTGCTTAAGGTTATCATACCGTCAAAATCTCATACCAGCCCATGCCTACTCCAGAATGAAGAAACGGGCAGGTAACATCATCAAAGACCCCTCTCACCCCGGACACAACCTGTTTGCACTTCTCCCCTCAGGCAGACGCTACAGATCTCTGTGCACTAGAACATCTAGGCATAAAAACTGTTTTTTCCCCATGCCATCTCCAGCCTAAACAGCTAACACAGGAATTATTACCTGTGTTCAGTAATTCATTCTCCATCTCTAATTATTGCCTCTCTCTCTCAAGTACTATGTAAATAAATATGTATATTTTTTATACAGCTGTAAATAATGCACGAATCTGTACATAAAACTTCTGTTTCAGATTCATACAAATTATTTATTGTTAAGTCTTATTTAAATATTTCTGTTCTCATGTCAGATATGTATATATATATATATATATATATATATGTATGTATGTATGTATGTATGTATGCATGTACCAAGAGCTTCTTAAAAACCACAACAAATTCCTTGTGTGACGGCCTAGCATGAGCCACGGCTTAGCATGAGCTGAGGCCAGGCTAGAGTGAGCAGAGGCGGCGGGGTTGAGAACGGCGCGGCCAGCGGATTTGACAAAGGAGCGGCCGGCGGGCTTGCGACAACCACATGTGACGACCCCGGGCTGGACTCCACTTCGTCCACGGTGAAAGCCGATCCGGGGGGGCCCCAGGGCGGG